TGAGGGAGGACAGCGAGGAGGGTGCCAAGTGCAGGGTCAGGGCCAGAACCTCAGAACCCGAGAACCCGCCCCACCAGCACAGAGCTCAGACCTCACCAGACCCTGGTGCGGAGGAGCGGGCAGGGAGGCCTGTGCCCTCTGCAGCCACTCTCTTCCTCTCCCTCCCCTCCAACCTAGTGCCCACACTCCCTCCTGAAACGCTGACCCTTCCGGAACCCCCACACTGAAGCCAGCACCCACTCACTGGGCCCTCCAGCATGACGTCTGAGGAGAGACCAGGTGCCCTGGGGGTAATAAAGTTGACCAGGAAAGTTTCCACTTGGTATCTAGGGCTGCGTCACGGTGATCACATCTGCCTACAAGAGCCACGGGAGGCGGTCCCCGCTTCACCACCAGTGGGTCATTCCTTCAGCATAATTTCATGGCATATCGATTATGTCCAAGTCACTTACTCGGTACCTTATGGGATTTTTTTTTTTTTTTTTTTTTTTTTTTTTTTTTGAGACAGGGTCTCACTCCGTCGCCTAGGCTGGAGTGCAGTGGTACAATCTCAGCTCACCATAGCCTCAGCTTCCCATGCTTAGGTGGTCCTCCTACCTCAGCCTCCTGGGTAACTGGGACTACAAGCGGATGCTACCATGCCTCGCTAATTTTTTGTATTTTTTTTGTAAAGATGGGGTTTCTCCATGTTGCCCAAGCTGGGCCCAAATTCCTGGGCCCAAGCAAATCTATCTGCCTCAGCCTCCCAAAGTGCTGCATTTACAGGAATGAGCCGCTGCACCTGGCCCCTTATGGGATTCTTTACAAAAACCAAGACAGACTGGGTGTGATGGCTCACGCCTGTAATCTCAACACTTCGGGAGGCCAAGGCAGGCAGATCACAAGGTCAGGAGTTCAAGACCAGCCTGGCCAATACGGTGAAACCCGTCCCTACTAAAAATACAAAAATTAGCTGAGCATGGTAGCATGCGCCTGTAGTCTCAGCTACTTGGGAGGCTGAAGCCAGAGAATTGCTTGAACCCGGGAGGCAGAGGCAGAGGTTGCAGTGAGATGAGACTGTATTACTGCACTCCAGCCTGTGGACGACAGAGCGAGACTCCGTCTGAAAAAAAAAACAAAAACAAAAACCAGACAACAGCCCCACCGTCAGAATCTGATGGGGGCGTGGAGGGAATTCTGAAGACTGTACAGCAAAACCTTAAGCGTGGATATTGCTGGCTTGCAGGTAAATTTTAAGTTCTTTCTTATTTCTGTACTTTCTGCATTTAAAAAAAAAAGAGGGTACTCAATTACGTTTTGTGATCTGAAAAACTATCTTTGCATTGAAAAAAAAAAGTCTAGCAGAAAAAAGAAAGTTTATACACAAATCATTTATAACCCAAGCCGAACACAACGTATTTGAACAGGGTTTTGAGGGATGCATAGGAGTTCAACAAGGCAGTGATACAAAGAGAAGCAGTTTAACGTTAGCAGGTCAGGGCAAAGAGGTTGTGGGAGACCAAGGGAAGACCAAAGCAGGAGAAACTGGAAAGCAGAGGTGTGAGCTGAGAATGAATCAACAGTGGAGGGGCCTACAGTGAGTGAGCAGTGAAGGGTCAGGGCGGGAAGAGATCTCTGCAGTGCTGTGCTTTGGGAAAGTCAGTCTAGGAGCAATTCAGCTGGGGCCCCAGGACCCCCTGCCCTGTACCCACAGCTCTGGGGTGGAGACAAACTACAGCGTAGACGCCCTCCCAGAGGCAGAAGCCAAGGGGCTGGGCATCTGCTCAGAGGGCACAGAACTCCCTTCCTCCCTGATCCTTTTCCCCATTGTGCCAGCTGGATCCCTGGTGCTCAGGGGGCAGGGGGGCCTTGGAGATTGGTCAGAGCAGTGCACGTGGGGGCTGAGGGAGCTCCCAGCCCAGCCCCACATGGAGGGCCAGAAGGGGATGGGCCTGCTGGGCCTGCAGGAAAGATGGGCAGGAAGTTGAGTTGAAGACAGCTGGATCTGTGTCCTGAACAGTCATGATAGAGAGAGGGAGGACGAAGAAGCAAGCAGGCAGTGCCTCGGCGGAGGAGCTAGTGGGGCTCCCCGAGGCCTGAGCAGCCACTCCCACCGGATTTCAGGGTCACCCCTCCATCGGGAAGGCCCTGCCCTCGCCTCTCCCTGCCTTTCCTCCACCCGGACCTGCTTAGGCCCTCAGGACCCTCAGCCCAACCCACGGACCTCTCCACGCGAGCTGGACTCCCACCTGCACGGGTCTCCGTCTGGGGGTCTGAGATGCTGACAGTTTTCTCCCACGCCCGGGCTCCAACGTGCACACCCTGTTCCACGGAGAAAGCCACCGACCCCGCAGAGCTCCAGGCTCCGGCCAGCTCTGAGCACTGCTGCCTCCACGTGGCCTGCCTCTCCCTCCCCTCCTGGCCTCAAGAAATTGCACTTCCACTGCTGGGGATGCTCCCTGGGCACTCCTGTGTCCCACACATCCTGCTCACAGCTTGGTGAGCTCCAGAAAGCATGGTCTGGAGGACACGTCCCTGGGCTTGGCTCCTGGCACAGTCTCTGGCACAATTTAGGGGCTGAGCTGTGTCTGCCCCTGGAGGAGGATGGCCTCGTACGTCCCCATGGACATCCCCTCACCTGTCCCCCAGAGCCAGGACCATGTCCCTGTGCATTCAGCACCAGCCTGGTGTCAACCGCCTCCCCAGCCACATCCTGTTTGACTCAGCTGAGTGTGAACATATCAACCCAGGAGGGGGGTGTATCCGGCACGTCAAACAAAGGTCCCGCACCAACAGAAGGCTGGGGAGGAAGCAGGCTCCTGCCACTCTGCAAACTGCCCATCCCTTTGTCCTGACACCACGCCATGGGCAGGCTGTCACCAAGACTGGGTGGGTGGGGCAGGGTGGCTCCACAGGGTCAAGCTTAGAGAGGGAACATGGACTCACACACCGAGGGCTGGAAAGGACCTTCCAAGGCCCGCTAGCCTCCGGCTACTCAAGTGTGTTCCGATGCCCCCTCTGTAGGAAATGCAGAGTCCCAGGCCTCAGACCTGCCAAGACAAATGTGAGCTCCACACCATGAAAGCATGCAGAGCAAGAGTCTCCCCCCATCCACACCCTCTCCAGGCCCCACGTGTTCCCGGCTCCCAAGCCCACTGACCAGTGGAGAATTCTCATTCAACAAGAAAAACCAAAAAAAAGGTTGGGCATGGTAGCTCATGCCTATAATCCCAGCACTTTGGGAGGCCGAGGCAGGAGGCTCATTGGAGCCCAGGAGTTTGAGACCAGCCTGGGCAACCTGGTGAAAACCGTCTCTACAAAAAATATTTAAAATTAGCCAGGTATGGTGGCACACAACCTGTGTCCTAGGTACTGGGGAGGCTGAGGCTGGAGGATCACTTGAGCCCAGCGGGCAGAGGTTGCAGTGAGCGGTGATCACACCACTGCACTCCAGCCTAGAAAACAGAGCAAGACTATGTCAAAAAAATCAAAGAAAAGCCAAAGAAGATGGAAAGCAGGGACTCAGAGAGAGACGGAAGTAACGTAAGGGTCCAGCGATGGAGAGACAGCTACATGGCACAGTTGGATGGCAAAGCAGAATATGATCAGCCTTGAAAAGGAAGGAAATTCCCACCCCACGCTACAGCACGGATGAAGCTTGAGGACGTCACGCTGAGTGAAATGAGCCAGACACAAAATGGGCAATTATTTTATTTTTCCACTCATACAAGGTTCCTAGAGTGGTCAAATTATTTCATAATAAAGACAGAAAGTAGGATGGTGGCTGCCAGCGGCTGGCGGAGGGGGATGGGGAGCTTGCTCTAACGGGAACGGAGCTCTGTTTGGGAGGATGGCAGGGTCCCAGAGACGGATGGCGGGCTGAATGTACTGAATGCCACTGATATGTACACTGCAAGGTGGCTAAAATTGCACGTTTTATGTTGTGTATTTCACCACAATTAGAAAGAAGAAGAAGAAAAAGGTAAATCAAAAACCTAGACCGTGCTGTTCATCCAGCCCAAAGAACGGTTACTGAACACGTTACTGGAGTTCTGAGTCCTGCACCTAGAATCGAACCTGGCTCTCGAGGGGCTTCTAACCCAGCTGGCACCTTAACACAGGATCCCTGCTGGAGCCTGGCAGCACGCTTCTGAGAAAGGAACCAACCATGTCCCACAGCCTGGCACTTCCAAACAGGCCGTGTCCCAGAGGACTGGTACCAATCACCCGCCCATAAGCTCCACGTCACACAGCTCCAGGCTTGAGCCCTCTGAGGACATGGCCAGGGCCCCTGTCCTCTCTCCCCTCTCCAGGAGGGCACCACCAAATAAAGCTGTGTGCAGCTATCACGAAGCCCCCTGGTCTGGGCACCCCTTCCCAGTGCTCTGAGAATCTTGTCCTGTTGGCTAAGGTGCTCCTCATATTCCCCTCCCTCTGCCACAAGCGTCCCTCCTGGGGGGGGAGGAGGACCAGGCCATGAGCTCCGATGTCAGCTGCAGGAGGCATATGCCCCTCCTCCCTTCACCGAGCCCTCGGCCTCTGCTGGACACGTCCAGGCAGCCTGCAGTTCCTCCAGCAGGAGCCACCGGAATGTGAGAGCCCAGCCAGGGGTCTCAGCCCCACCCTGTCCCACACCCCTGCATGAGCCTGCCATGGCTCCTATGTGGCTACTCATTCTCCAAGCTTCCCAGGCCTCTTGGACACACAGCAGACAGAGATCCTACAACGGCCCATGGCGGCCCATGGTGACCGATAAAGGAGGCTTGAAGCCCAGAGAATCTTTCCAAACTCTCACTCAAGTCCCACGTGGGGCATCTTGGCATGTCCCCATCAGGCAGAGAGAGCCACAGCCACCTCCCCTGAGATTGCAGACCCCCATCCCCATGCATTCCGATCTTCCTGGGCTCCTGGGGAGCACCCCCCCACCCATATCCAGCTTCTTTCTCCAAGATTCTATGGCAAAGCCAGCAACCCGGTCCCCCGTGACCGCAGTATCTAAGACCCCATGCTCTGGGACTCACCCTCCTGGCTCCGGGATGCAGCCTCGGCCACAGGGGGCTGGGGCTTGGGCTCCAGCCTGCTCTGCAGCTGAGTCACAGGGGCGGGCTCTGAATTCTCCAGGGTCTGGGCTGGGCTGAGGGCGGCAGGCGCCTCAGCAGGCTTGGGCATCTGGATCTCCACCCTCTTGGGGGCTGCGTCGGTGGCAGGGGCAGTGGGCACCTCAGGGAGCTTGGAGGCAGGGGGCTCCATCCTCCGGTGGGCTGACTCCTGCGGTTTGACGATGGTGAGCTCCGTCCTCCGAGGGGCCGGCTCCGGCGTCTTGTGGCCCAACACCTCGGCCCTCTTGAGCCCGAACCGGGACGGCCCGATGGCCCCCGCGTTCTCCACCTGCTTGGACGAGATGTCAATGGACAGCTCAGTGCGCCGGGACACCGGCTCGGCCACCTTGGAGCCCGAGAGCTCCACCCTCCGCAGAGACGCCTTGGGGGAGCGCTGGCTTAGGGAGTCCACATGGCGGGCCACAGGCTCTGAGTTCTTCACGCCCAGGTCCTGGAATTTCTGGGTGGAGCTGGCCACAGTGGCTCGGACCAGGGGAGTCTGGACCCTCCGCGGTGGGGTGGAATTGGGTGTCTCGACCTCCTCGACCTCAAAAGATCTTTTCAAGGCTGAAAAATAAAGAGAGGGGGTGCAGTTGGTGAGTGGATGCCTCAGGAACACTCCGGCATGTTTCCTACTATGGAGCAGCAGAGGAAGGCAGGCAGAGCTGCGGAGACGGCCCCGGGGCTCTTCCCATTCTGCACGTCTCAGCGAGTGAAAGGGACAGCCCCATCGTAGGAGACCCTCGGCAGGCGAAAGGAACAGCCCCATCGAAGGAGACCCTCGGCAGGCGAAAGGGACAGCCCCATCCTAGGAGATCCTCGGCAGGTGAAAGGGACAGCCCCATCGTAGGACACCTATCATAGGTTCTGGGACAGAGATGCAGGCTAGCGCGGGAGGCGTTGCCCGTCCCGTCTTGCCATGGCCACAGCACAAACCACACAGCCTCCCACTCCAGCTACGTCTGCATAGGAACGTTCTAATTCCAGGGAAGATTTTGATTTCCTTTTTTTCTTTCTTTTTTTTTTTTTTTTTGAGACGGAGAGTCTTGCTCTGTTGCCCTGCGGGACTTCAGTGGCACCTCCCAGGTTCAAGACATTCTCCTGCCTCAGCCTCCACAGTAGCTGGGATTACAAGCACACACCACCATGCCCAGCTAATTTTTGTATTTTTAGTAGAGATGGGGTTTCACCTTGTTGGTCAGGCTGGTCTCAAACTCCTGACCTCAAGTGATCCACCTGCCCCGACCTCCCAAACTGCTGGGATTACAGGCGTGAGCCACTGCACCCGGCCTTGATTTTCTTCTTGTTGTGGCTGTCTTTATCCTTCCTCACCTCCAGCCAAGGGACACACCCGGACACCACTAGCAAACACACCTCCACCACCAGCCGCAGTGGGGGGACACACTTCCAATACTAAGTGACCACAACCGTAGCCAATCAGAACCACCGCAGGAATAAAACCCAAGACAATCAATGACACCAAGAGAGGACCCTGGAGCTTCAAGTGCCAGCGAAGTGCTGGGCTGACTGAGTTCATCACATCTGCAGCCTGGGACATAAAGAATATCATGACCCCCAGTACGGGTAGGGAAAGTGAGGCTCGGGGTAGACACAGAGCCAGACTGTATATCGGGCTGATGCCAGGGCCCAAAGTTCCAGCCACTGGGTTATCCAGCTCCCCCAACTTAGTCCACAGGAACTAACTTCCTCAGTCATCAGCCTCTCCTGCATCTTTCCATCCAATACCAGCAGCCTGTACAGGGATGCCAACACCCAGCTCCCGCCCTGCAGCCACCCTGCGTTCTCTACCGGGGTCCGCTCCCTCGGAGGCAGTGGTGATGGTACCTGGGAAGCTGCCACCCTCACAGTCTCCACAACCGCACTCCCAATGAGAGCCAACCGTTCCCGGTTATCAGGACCAGAGCAGGGAGGGGCCTCCCTGGCGAGCACATTCACCAGCTACTTCCGGGGCCAGGCCCACAGGACAGCCCCCCGTGCAGATCCACAGTGTCTTTCCCACCCACTCCCTGCCTCACCAGGCCCCAAGTCCGAGTCTCACGGGATTCCACCACTGCCTCCCCTGCCCACAGGAAAAGGGATGACAGCCGGTCCCCAGCCCCCAACAGGAGCGCTCCAGGACTACTTCAGTGCCTCCCCTCACCGTCACCCTTCCTCCAAATGCACTCAGGCACTGGGGAGGGGAGAGGCCTGATCCTGGCTGCCTCAGCCGCCAGCTTCCCGGGCAAGGCACTCCTGTGGGGGCCCTCCCTAAGCCATGGGCACCTCTCCCTCTTGGTGGACACAGACAAAATCCTGGGTCACTAAGCTCAATCCCCACCAGAAGCTGGGCAGGGAGCCGCATGGGCTCCAGGGAACTCTCCGTTGTCACAGGCCCTGTCTCAGCTCCATCACTGCCCTTAAAGACGTGGGCCCCGCAGGGCCAGGGCTGCTCACTTCTCAACAGAGTAGAAATCTGTATCTTTATGTGAAATCTGGCACAAAGCAAAACAATCCCTTTTTAAAACACCAACCAGCCTGGCTGACATGCTGAAACCCCATCTTTACTAAAAATAAAAAATTAGCTGGGTGTGGTGACGACTGCCCGCAGTCCCAGCTACTTAGGAGGCTGGGGCAGGAAAATCATTTGAACCCGGGAGGCAGAGGTTGCACTGAGCTGAGTCTGCACCACTGCGCTCAGCCTGCAGAGTGAGACTCTGTCTCCAAAAACTAAAAACAAAAATAAAGTAAAACACCGTAGGGCCAAACAAAATCAAATCCACAGGCTGCCTTCGCCTGTGGGTCCAGCCAGTGACCTCTGGCTGATCATGTGGCCCCAGGGCAGCAGGATCCTGAGCCCTGGAGTCAGAGGCATGCCAGGTGTGGGCTCCCGAAGTGGCGTTACTCCGCCCCCTGCACCCTCTGTGCACACAGCTGGCTCTGTTCCGATTCTACAGAAGCCCCAGGGCCCCAAGGAAAGGCTGAATGCCCACTGTCACCGGCCAGAAAGTCCGTTCGGTGCCCGGAACTGAGTGTAATGAGAAGGGCTTACCAAGTTCATCACGTCTACACCCACTTAAACCTGGGACGTAAAGAATATTGTCACCCCCGGTACAGATGGGGAGAGGGAAGCATGGGGTAGACACAGAGCCAGACTGTACATCGGGCTGATGCCAGAAAGTGCAGAGCTCAAGGCCTGGGTCCTCATGTGGTTCCCAGGGCCTCCCGTGGTCCTCTGGTCTGCCCCCTGCCTCCTAAGCACTGTCCAAACTGTCCCCACAGAACGCGCCTCTGTCCTGCGGGCGCTGTAGAGCAGGGGCCGGCTTTCAGGTGTCCTCAGCACCCTTCCATGTGGCCAAGTTGATGAGAAGGCCTTTTCCCAGGTCCGAACCAAGAAAACAAAAGACCCTCCCTGGGAGACTGGGTGAAGCCCCTCCTTGGGGAATCCCCTTGGAGTCATCCCCCAGTGGCCAACTCATAAGGTAAGACCCTGCCCCAAAGCAGAGCCCTCCCTGGTGTGAGCTCACAATTGAGTCCACAGTGCGGATGCAGTGATGTATTCCAGCCAGACCCACATGCACATGTGGATCATTCTAGAACCGAAGCTGGCCCCCTCCCCAAAGCACTCCTCCTTCCCCCAGCTGTCTGCATGGCTCACGCCTCACCACATTGGCCATCTGCACAAAACACTCACGTGTGCCAGTCCGCAGCCGGCCTCTCCTCTCTTTCAGTGGCTGGCGTCTTTTCGTGGACGGGCCCCTCTCTCCTCACCAGCTGGCCTCTGCGCTTACCATCCAGCTTCTACGATCCGTCTGGGTATTTCTGCCTAGCACCACCCCTGTGCCCACTAGCTCTAAAGTAAACGCTGAGAGAGCAGGGGCAGAGGCCACCCCACCATCAGGACAGCACTGCTCAAAGGCGGGCTTTTCTAGATAACAGCCAGGAGATCTCAGCCTCCAGAACTGTGAGAGAATACATCTGTGCACTAGGAGAACAGTGAGAAAAGGAGACACCCCATTCCGGGGGTGTCCATCTTCCCCAAAGAAACCATGTCCCAGCTGGCATGTCAAGAAGGTGACATCTAAATGAAGAGGTGCTCACCCTGGCTCATGCCATCCTCCCAAACAAGCACGCCACCGCCGCCACCTCCTCTTCCTCTTGTGAATCCTCCTCAAAGCCAAGCCTGCTCCAGCCCCTTCCCAGGGCCCTTCCTTCCCTCCCACGCAGTCCACACCACCTCTCCCACGCAGTCCACACCACCTCTCCCACGTCATCCTGGCCACGACATGACTGTTGAGATTGGCTGCAGGGGGTGTGTCTGGGCCCCTGGAACAGAGCTGAACCTCCTCTGCTCCATGACACCAGCCCTTCCACCAGGCCTCAGCTGCTTCTAGAAAGCCTACCAGGCTGGGCGTGGTGGCTCATGCCTGTAACCCCGACACTTTGGGAGGCCAAGGTGGGCAGATCGCTTGAGCCCAGGAGTTCAAGACCAGCATGAGCAACATGGCAAAACCCCAGCTCTAATAAACAATACAAAAATTAGGCAGGGGTGGTGGCACACGCCTGTAACCCAGCTACTTGAGAGGCTGAGGCAGGAGAATCACTTGAGGCCCGGAGGTCAGGGCTACAGTGAGCCATGATCACACCACTGCACTCCAGCCCAGATGACAGAGTGAGGCCCTGTCTCAAAACAAAACAAAGACAACCAAAACCTACTAAAGGCCAGGCACGGTGCCTCACACCTGTTATCCCAGCACTGTGGGAGGCCGAGGCAGGCGGATCCCCAGAAGTCAAGAGTTCAAGACCAGCATGGCCAACATAGTGAAATCCTGTCTCTATTACGATACAAAAAGTTAGCCAGGCATGGGGACAGGAGCCTGTAATCCCAGCTACTCGGGAGGCTGAGGCAGGAAGAATCGCTTAAACTAGGGAGGCGGAGGTTGCAGTGAGCCCAGATTGTGCCACAGTACTCCAGCCTGGGCAACAAAGCAAGATATCGTCAAAAAAAAAAAAAAAAAAAAGGCTGGATCACAGGACAGGCACAAGCCCTGAGGAAGTCCCCAGGGAGGAAGGACACACTAGACCTTTACCCCCATTTCAGCCTGCGAAGCTTCACTTTCCTCCGAGCTTCTGCAGAGGGTTGACTAGTGACCCCCATCAAGACATGTCCAAGACCTAACCCCAAGAACCCAGGAATGTGACCTTATTAGGAAAAAGGGTCTTTGCAGACCTGATTAAGGACCCCGGGATGAGACTCTCCTGGATTCTGGATGGGCTCGAAATCCAGTGCTCGGTGTGCTTATGGGAGAAAGGCGGAGCAGGACTCAGGACACAGGGAGACACGGTGACGCCAGGGCAGTGACGGTAGAGGTGCTGCCCAAGCCGAGGAGCGCCTGGGCCCATGGAGGCTAGAGGCGGCAAGGACGGGCCCTCCCCTCGAGCTGTCGGAGGGACGTGGCCCTGCCAATACCTGGATTTCAAACTTCTGGCTCCAGAACCATGAGCGAATCAATCTTTGTTGTTGGATCACTTAGTTTGCAGTAGTTTGTTCCGGCAGCCCCAGGCCACTC